GAACTGCAAACTGGTGCGGCCAATATGGAAAGCAGTATGGAGATTCCTAGGAAAGCTGGGAATGGAACCACCATTTGACCCAGCTATCGCCCTTCTCGGTCTATTCCCTGAGGACCTTAAAAGAGCATACTATAGGGATACTGCCACATCAATGATCATGGCAGCACAATTCACAATAACTAGACTTTGGAATCAACCCAGATGCCCTTCAATAGATGAATGGATTAAAAAACTGTGGCATTTATACACAATGGAGTATTACGCAGCACTAAAAAATGACAAAATCATGGATTTTGCAGGGAAATGGATGGCATTAGAGCAGATTATGCTAAGTGAAGCTAGCCAATCCTTAAAAAACAAATGCCAAATGTCTTCCTTGATATAAAGAGAGCAACTAAGATCAGAACAGGGAAGAAGAGCATGAGGAAAAGATTAACATTAAACAGAGACGAGTGGGGGGAGAGAAAGGGAGAGAGAAGGGAAACTATGGAAATGGAAGGAGACCCTCATTGTTACACAAAATTACATATAAGAGTTTGTGAGGGGAAAGGGGAAAAAAAAAACAAGGGAGAGAATTAAACAACAGCAGATGGGGTAGAGAGGGAAGATGAGAGGGAAGGGGAGGGGGGATAGTAGGGGATAGGAAAGGTAGCAGAATACAACAGTCACTAATATGGTATTATGTAAAAATGTGGATGTGTAACCGATGTGATTCTGCAACTTGTATTTGGGGTAAAAAATGGGAGTTCATAACCCACTTGAATCAAATGTATGGAAGATGATATGTCATGAGCTGTGTAATGTTTTGAACAACCAATAAAAAAAAATTTAAAAAAAAAGAATGAGAACAAGGCAAAGAATGAGAACTTGGAAAAAAAAAAATCATTAACTGTTTAGATTTTAGTACTTATGAAACATATGTTTTAAATCCACACATGAATATGAATCTTTACTGCAAAATAATGCATGCTTATCATAAAATTTTCAAACAACACAGATAGTATAAAATTAAAGGCGAAAGTACTCACCCTCCCTCCACAATCCCTCTGCCCACAAGTAACAGAATTAATACTGATGTAAATTACTATGCATATATATGCATGTAAATGCATAACCACATATGGTTTTATTAGAACCAATTGAACTAATTCAGAATTCTATATCATCAGAATACCCACTCTTGGAAATATTTGGTCTCCTACTCTTCTCCAATCTGAAATTCTTTCTAATCCAAGGGAATGCAATCCTGGTCTCATAACATTTGCCACTGCTGCCTGCTGGAAGTTAGTTCTCTTAACTTTTAGGAGTCATTAATATAAGCTACCTGATTTTCTTATCCCCCACTACTCATTAAAGGAGTCCATCCTCTGTTTTGTGTGTGGAGCCTTGCAACTTAAAATACTAGAGCTTCATCTGGAAATTAGTCAAAAATTCCAAATCTCAGGTAATACTCCAGAGTTTTGGAATAAGAATCTGCAGCATAACACAATCCTCCAGGTGATTCATATGCAAATTAAAGTAGGAGAACCACTTGTCTCTTGGAGAAGTACAAAAAACACTGATGCCTGGGCTCACATGAGAGATTCCGATTTGTCTACCATAAATCCTGGATATCAAGAGTTTTCCCCAGTGGTGCTAAGATGAGAAGACAAGGCTGAAAATCACTGATCTAGATGATTGCTACTTAGTATAGCCTGTGAACTAGCAAAGTCAACATTACCTAAAAGCTTGTCAAAAAATTAGACTCTCATGTCTCAACTAAGACGTCCTGTAAGTGTGAAGAGTGTCACTGAATATCAATTTCACATACAATCTCAACTTCTATGAGATAGATCAACATTTTCAGATTCCACATGAGTAAGATCATAGAGTACTTGTGTTTCTGTCCCTATTTCACTTAATACAATGATCTCTAGTTCTATTGATGTTGTTGCCAATGGACTTAATCTTCAAGTAACCAAGAGAATATAGAGTTCTGTTTAAGTTGAAGTATTTTAAGCTAGAGAGGAAAGGTTTTCTCACAAACATCTCAGTATTAGAACTGTAGTCATACATAAAACTACCATTGATCCCCTGGAAAGTGATTCCTTAATGAAATTCAATCTCTTTCCAATAGAAAGCCTCCTAAAATCTATCTGGTATTTCCCCTGGATCTTCTCTTTCCTTAATGCTAGCCTATATACTAGAGTTAATATAGAGAGAAACAAGGCAAGTCCCAAAGGTTAGAAATAGAATGCACTCCAGGGGAAGAAGGAAAGCCTCAGAGATCACTTGGGGAGGTACCCAGGGATGTTTTACAGTAATTCCTGAAATGAAACAGATTTAATATCTTTCACATGTCAAATGATTCTGCAGACTCCTAGAAAACAAGTCTCTGGAGCCTCCAGAAATGAAGTGCAATGAACCATATACAATGCCTGGTGTTACCTGGACTTTTTCTCATAGAGCCAGGGAGGAGATGCTTGATGCTGAGGTGATGTTCAAATCCACCATACCCACCCCTCTCTCCAAGCTGATCCAGGAAAGCCGTCTGCATGTGTGAGAGAAAAAGACTGAGGGTCCCTATTACAACCCCTTCTGTAGTGCATTACAGAGTGCCTTTTACTTTATCAGTCTGGAGAAGTTCAAAGGAGGTAATGTAATAGTGTAATATAAAAGTTCCGTATGTGAATACAGGACACACACTCATTGAATGAAAAATTACACCCCATGGCTGAGTCACACTTGTAAAATGAGGAGTTAGAACGGATCATTATACAGTTTCTTTCAATTCTATGATTTCATAGCTAAGATTATAAGAGATAATCTTTCAGAAAACAATCTCATTTTTCAGGAATAATCAAGTGACATGTTTCTTCTCTCAGGCTACCTATGAAGAGAACATACTAAGTGAAGGTCATTTGGAAGGAGACTATCTAAGTAAGCTACCATACTTGCAGTAGGTGGACTGGTGGGTTGATAAATTCATTGTTTGTTTTCTTGCACTGGAGAGGAAAATATTTTTTTAAAAAAACTGTTTCCCTAGGATTGTAGGCCAGATAATGATTTATGAATCTCAAAAACATGAGAAACATTACGTTTATGGCATAAAAATGATGAAGATTTTAGTCTACTAACCTCACTGTTTCCAGAAAGTAATTTTGGTAATTTTAGAGTATGGGATTATGTAGAAGTTTGTTGAGTCAGATCATTATAATCAATGTGAAAACTCTGGAATTGATTACTCAGGCTTTTCCTTTAAACTCTCCTCCTCTTTGATTATTTCATTAAGTAGCTACACTTTGTCCCAGAGATGTGAGGAAAAAGAATAATAACGTTGCTGCTGATAAATCTCTTACAAGGTGTGGTGGTAGAAAAGATGAAATGTGGTGTGAAGTTGTCAGTGTACAAGGGACGGCATCCTGAACTGTTAGTCACATTAAGCAGGCACAGTCCATTTCTCAGAACAAATGACAGGAGTCTCAGACCTCATAATTCTCATTTCCGGTTTAAATCTATGAGCCTGGACTGGTCCCTGACCTCAAGCAGAAAAAATGAATCACCTGTTGAGCAGCTAAGTCAAGGAATATGTTAAACAAATGTATTTGAATTCACCAATAATTGGAAAGCTGGACAACATTAGAGCTTGGATGCTCAAAACTTCCCTTTTTGTGCTTCCTTTAAAACTATGAACAAGGGACTAGTGATATTGAAGTGGATCATATATGAACCTTCCTTCAAATTCTGTGTTTTTTAATTGTCTTTCAAATTCTTTTCTCTTGCATTCCTGGAAAAGTTACTGACCTCCAATACACAAGACAAGAAATCTGAAATTAACAAAAGCTCAATATTGAAACTACCTTATTTTTAAAAACTCTTAATGGGTTCATTTTAAATACTAACCAGTTACAAGATTGGTTTAAACATAAGTATTTATAAATTTTACTTGTTCAATTCTTAAATACATAAGTCCTTTGCTATCCAAGTATTTCAAAAATGTCCCTTTTCTTTCTTTCAGTAAAATTAATTCCAACAGATAAAATTGTAGCTAAAATTAATTCCAACAGATAAAATTGTAGCTAAAACCCCATTGATCTCAGATTCTTTTAGGAAAAAAAAAAAACTTTATTTTTATCATCCAGAAAGCTTACTAAATAAACTAAACCCTTGTATCAACAACATAATTTCCTTTGTTACATCTAGGTGGGATTTGAAAATGATAAGTAAGATAGTCTTGTTTTTTTGGTTTGTTTTCTTTTTTTTGTTTGTTTGTTTTTGTTTTTGTTTTGCATAGTGTGTATAAAAAAACACTTAACCTCTATGTGCCTTGGTTTTCTCATCATTAAATGAGGATAAGAATATTACTTTTTTCATAGGCTTGTTGTGAGGATTAAATGAAAAAAAAAAACATTAAAATGAACATATAATAGGTAAAGATATTTGAAAAATAATACTTATTCTTTGAAGTAAAGATATTTGATAGAATAAGGATTTTTTTAGGTGTTATTCAACTGGCCAAAGTGAAATTTAAAAATAAAACCCTTAAAGGAAAATTTAAGAGCAGCTCTCAGTGGTGGGTATAATAATGTCTATGACAATTCAGTTGGTTAGACTGTTCTGAAAGGCCAATGTCCTATTGTGAGTTTTATTTCCATGTGGTGGTGTACTGATTTCTTGTTACCAAAGGTCTAGTTTGGGCTGAATAAGATAAAATGGATGATTGTGTGCATGAGGACTCATAATCAACATTGGAAAAACAAATCAAAAGCTGAAAAGCTCTTGTTAAAACTTCAAGGGGGAATAAAAAGAAATCTATCTAATTGTACCACTGGTATATAAAATCCTAGTTGCATTGGATTATAGAGAAATAATACTGAGATTTATAACCAAATTTCAAGTATGATAGGATTTGTTTCCAGTTGGTCTCAGAATATTCATATAGTTTCCTGTAAGCTCAAGTTTCCTCCTCAGTAAAGAGATTTTAAGTCCGAGAGACAGGTTGAAAGCAAGAACATTTGGATTAAACTCATGTCTTTCTTCTTCATAGATTTAGGTCCCATGAACAGATCAGCATCACATACTGTGACCGAGTTTGTTCTCCTGGGATTTCCTGGTTGCTGGAAGATACAAATTTTCCTCTTTTCGTTGTTTTTGATGATATATATCTTGACTTTGCTGGGAAATGGCGCCATCATCTGTGCAGTTAGATGTGACCCACGGCTACACACCTCGATGTACTTTCTGCTGGGAAATTTTGCCTTCCTTGAGATCTGGTATGTTTCTTCCACTGTTCCTAACATGCTAGCCAACATTCTCTCCAAGACCAAGGCCATCTCATTTTCTGGGTGCTTCCTCCAGTTCTATTTCTTCTTTTCACTGGGCACCACTGAATGTCTCTTCCTGGCAGTCATGGCTTATGACCGATACTTGGCCATCTGCCGTCCACTGCACTACCCTACCATCATGACTGGAAGGCTCTGTAGCACACTGGTATCTTTATGTTGGCTCATTGGATTTCTTGGATATCCAGTCCCCATTTTCTTCATCTCCCAACTCCCTTTCTGTGGCTCTAATATCATTGATCACTTCCTGTGTGACATGGACCCATTGATGGCTTTGTCCTGTGCCCCAGCTACCATTACTGAAACTATTTTTTATGCTCAGAGTTCCCTTGTCCTCTTTCTTACTATTATGTACATTTTTCGATCCTATACTCTGTTGCTCAGAGCTGTTTTTCAGGTCCCTTCTGCAGCTGGCCGACGAAAAGCCTTCTCTACTTGTGGTTCTCATTTAGTTGTGGTGTCTCTTTTCTATGGGACAGTCATGGTAATGTATGTGAGCCCCACATATGGCATCCCAACTTTGATGCAGAAGATTGTCACATTAGTATATTCAGTAATGACTCCCCTTTTTAATCCTTTGATCTATAGTCTTCGTAATAAGGACATGAAACTTGCCCTAAGAAATGTCTTGTTTGGAATGAGAATTGGTAAAAACTTATGAGTCAAGAATGCATAACCCAAGTTATAATGAAGAGCGAGGTGGAGGTGTATTAGTTCTTTCAGTGCCACCTGGTCCTCAGTTTAAGTAGTCAGAGATCATATATTTCACCTGGAATTGTGCCCAGTATAAATATATTTTTGGTACTGACTACTTAAACCTTACTGCACCAGTCTTCAACACCTAATGAAATTTGTTCAAGCCTGTCCTGATTGGAAAGATCAGACAGGATTGCTGAATAAGATAAAATGGATGATTTTGTGCATGAGGACTCATAATTAACATTGAAAAAACAAATCAAAAGCTGAAAAGCTCTTGTTAAAACTCCAAGGGGGAATAAAAAGAAATCTATCTAATTGTACCACTGGTATATAAAATCCTAGTTGCGTTGGATTATAGAGAAATAATACTGAGATTTATAACTACAATAATTTCAAGTATGATAGGATTTGTTTCCAGTTGGAAACAAATGTGAGATGCTCTCCTACTAAGATGGCTGATGGTTTATCGTTGTATATCTTATTCTACCCTGCAACAAGACAATAAAACAATGCTGTTCAACTATAGATGCATTCCTGATAGTCTCTGCATGGTAGGAACCAGCAGTACTACAATAGAAAGCATACTGTAAGACTTAAAAAGAATTTTTTGAGGCACTGGGGATATAGTTTAGTGATAGCTTGCTTAGCTTGCATGAGGTCCTGGGTTCAAACCCCAACACCACCCCAAAAAATTAAAAGTGCTTTTTTAATCTCTTTTCATTTAAATTTATTTTTTAACTGATACAGAAAAATAAAAGTTGTAGTAACATGTGATGTTTCAATATGTGTATACATTACATGTTTTAAATCAGCATAAATGGGTAAGCATATCTGTTCAAACATTCGTTATTTCTTGATGAAAATTTTAATACACTTTCTTCTAGCTTTTTGAAATGTACACTTCATTACTTTTATTTATAGTTACCCTACTGTGCAATAGCACACCAGAACTTCTGGCCCCTTTCTAACTATAACTGGATATTTTATCTCAATTTTTTTTTACAAAATAATAGATGGTGGATGTAACAAATAGAAGCAATTTGGAAGTATATAACATGACAGGTTTCATATATCCATATACATGATGGATTTTCCATTTTCACCCTCAGCCCTACCAATCCTCTCTCCGCTCCTCAGAGTCAATGTGTCTAACCTCCTCTGACATTCCACACCTTTCTTAACATGGCCCCGCTAAACCTAGCTTCTTTCTTTTCCATTACTTCCCAGTATGAACCCTTAGCTCTTGTCAGGCCATTCACTTTATTCCACTCCCTATCACCTGTGCTTCTTTCTTAGACTGTTCTTTCAACCTGGAGGGCCACTTGTCATCTTATTCCATGCGACTTGAGAAAAATAATTAAAACTTATATTCTTAAATTCTTATTCGGTAAAATGAGTATAAAGTATGTCTTATAAAATTATCATAAGGGCCAGACAGGGTAGTGCATGCCTGGAATCCTGGCAAATTGGGAGGCTGATGCAGGAAGATCACAATTTTAGGCCAGCCTCCGCAACTAAGACAGGCCCTAAGCAACTTACTGAGACTCTCTCTCAAAAATACAAAAATGAAAAAAGGAGGGCTGGGGATATGGCTCACTGCCTAAGCACCTCTGAGCTCAATCTCTAGCCCCACCCCTCAAAAAATGATAAGTATTAAATGAAATAATTTATGTAAAGACCGAAGCACAGTAAGAGACATATTGGGAGGTGTGGAGCACACAGGTTTTTTTTTTTCTCCTCTGCTTCCTACCTTTCAAAACTGACTATGAACAGTTTGCTAGTTATCTTTCAGAATTTTGCTACACTCATAGAAACCTTAATACTTAAAGATAGCTTGTTTATAAACCAAGTTGGTAGATATATAATTTGACCATCATAAGGGGACTGAAGGGCTGGGGATGTAGCTCAGAGGCATAATGTTTGCCCATCATACGAGAGGTCCTGGGTTCAACCCCCAGCACACACACACACACACACACACACAAATCTGTTGGTGATTCATAAAGGAACTGGATAGAGTAGACACTCTGAAGTCAGACTTATTTATCCTACTCATCTTCTTACTATCTATGTGATCTTAGACAACTTGCTTGAACACTATGAACTTCAGCTACTTCATCTATAAAATGGGATAATAACAACACCTTAGGGTTGTTGGGTTGTTATGAATCGATTCTTGTAAAGCACTTAGAATTATGACTGGAAAATGATAGAGCTGAATAAACATCAGATTAAAGATAAGTATTTTTAACTCAACAAAATCATGGTATCTTTCAAATTCAGTTCATATGCTTTGAATGGTGGTGCATGCCTGTAATCCCAGTGACATGGAAATCTGAGACAGGAGGATTACAAATTTGAAGCCATCCTGGGTAACTTAGCAAGACACTGTCTCAAAATGAAAAATAAAAAGGATTGGCAATATAAATCAGTGACAGCACCCCTGGATTCAATTCTCAGTACCAAAAGAAAAAATTATAGTTTATATAATTTTACCTCATTTCATTTCACAAATATACTGTGTTCCATTTTGTGACCATTTCATAATTTATATATTCACTACTCAATTAATAATACTATATTGTATCTAAGATTTTATAATTAAAATAATACTTCAATTAATGTCCTTGAATATGTCCATATTGACATTTCATAATTGGAACAATAAATCCTGGGACATAGGAAATGTGCATTTTAATTATGAGAAGCATTGCTAAATTAGGTGCCCCAAATGGTATGGGACAAATGGTGCTAGGTTAAGTCAATATCCTTATCAAAAGAATGAAATTGGATGTTTACCTCACATTATATACCCAAAAAAATGCAAAAATGCATCAAAAACCTAAATGCAAAAGTTAAAACTATAAAACTCTTAGAAGAAAACATATTTAAACCTTCAGAAGGTTGGATTAAGCAATGGTTTGTTAGATATGATACTTAAAGTACAAGCAAACAAGAAAAAGTAGATGAATTAGATTTCAAAATAAATTTTTTTGTGCTTCAAGGGAAATAACAACTATTCAGAAAGTTAAATAACAACTATTATGGTCTGAATGTTTGTGTCTCCCCAACCAAAGTTCACATGTTGAAATCATAACGCCCAGGGTGAGGGTTTAGGAAAGTGGGTCCCTTTGGGAGATGATTAGGTCATAACATCAGATCCTCAGGCACAGAACTATTGCCCTTATCAAACAGGTTCAAGGACACTCTTTTGCCTCAGAACAGGAAGGTGCTGTTTGTGGACTAAGAAATAGTTACTTCTGAGATACTGAACCTGTTGATGCCTTGATCTTACTTCTCACATTCCAGAACCATTAAAACTAAATTTCCAATATTTATAAGCTACCAAGTTTATGATATTTTGTTATAAAAACTGAACAAACCAAGACAACTCATGGAATAAAATATTTGTAAATCATGTATCTAATAAGAGTTTAGCATCCAAAATACATAAAGAACTCTTACAATTCCACAACAAAACTTAAATAACCCAATTTTTTAAATAGGAAAAGGTCTTGGATAGACATGTATCCAAAGAACGCTATACAAGTGTCCAATAAGCACATGAAGAGATAGTTAATATCCTTAATCATTAAGAAAAGAAAAATCAAAATCACAATGAGACACTATTCACAGCCACTTAGCAAACCTAGAGTCAAAAAGACAGTATTGACCAGGATGTGAAAAAATCTGAGCCCTCATACCTTGCTAGCAGAAATGTAAAATGCTGCAGTCTCTTTAGAAAACAATTTGGCAGTTCCCTACGTAAAATTGAATTACCATATGACCCAAAAATGTGTAAGTATATACAAAAGAATTTAAAATATGTTTACATGTAAAAACACACACAAAGCATTATTCATAATAGCCAAAGAGTGAAACGACTTTATTATCCCTCAAATGATGAGCAGATAATGTGTTATATAAATAACAATGAAATTATTCAGCCATAAAAATGGAATTAAGCATGATATATGCTACAACACAGACGAGCCTTGATAAAATGATACAAATGAAAAAAACACATTATGCTAAGTGAGACATGGCAGAGAAGGCCACATATTGTATGATTCCATTACATAAAATGTCCAGAATGAACAAATACAAAGAGACAAAGAGTAGAATAATTGTTTCCAAAAACTAGAGGAAAGAAAGAAAGGGAATGGCTATTACCAGGTACCCAGTTCCTTTTTGAGGTGATGAAATTGTTCAAGAAAAGATCATTGTGATGGTTGCACAGTCTGTGACTACACTAAAAATTCTAGATTGTACACTTAAAGGGATGAATTTTTCATCATGGAAATGTATATCAAAACCACTATGAGATAGATATATTGCTTCACTCCTATTAGGATGACTATTATCAAAAAGACAAAAGATAACAAGTATTAGCAATAATGTGGCAGAAAGGGAACTCATTATTGGTAAGAATGTAAATTGATACAGTCACCATGGAAAACAAAATGGTGGTTCTTCACAACTGGAACTACAATAGGACCCGGTATTCTTACTTCTAGGGGTATAGCCAAAGGAATTAAAATCAAGATCTTGAAGAAATATCTGCCCTCCCGTGTTCACTGTGGTATTATTCACAATAGCTAAGACACAGAAACACAAATGTCTATCAGTGGACAAATAGATTTTTTTTAAATGTGGTATATACATTCACTGGAATATTATTCAACCCTAAAAAGGAAGAAAGTCCAGCCATTTACAACCACATGGATAAATCTGGAAGACATTATGCCAAGTGAAATAAGACAGGCAGGGGACAAATAGCCACATATGACAAATGTAAAACAGTTAAACTCATAGAAGCAGAGAATAGAATTTTAGGTACTCTGACCATGAAAATAAATAGGGAAGCATTCCCTGGGTGAGCAAACTCCCAGGGGGAACGGGTAACTGGAGCCCTGATTCCCACAAATGGAATGCCCAGCAGTTTCCCCCTGAGGCTATTAAGATAACTATGAGGGTGCACTACCTGGTTTCCACAATATCATG